ATTGGTGGATAGTTTTGGTATTTGATGAAGAAATTTATTCTTAATTTTTATTGCACGCTCATTACGTAATTGAACACATGCATTGAAAAGCATGATTAAATTGACACTATCTGGTTCTATTAACATTTCATCGAATAATTCGAGAATTTTTTCTGGTTTTTTGTTTGCCATGAAGCCTAATAAAAAAAAACAGTTTATATCAACCAATGAACAATATTAGAAAAAAATTATTTTTGTATTTCAAAATCAGCAGTTATTTCTTCTAGAAGTAATAAACGAACATTTCAAAAAAGAAAGATCACTGTCATGTCTGGAAAATAGGAAAAACGATATAAGGAAGATCCAACTTTTGTTTCAATCTTCTACATTATTTTGTTTAAATCTCTAATGCAAGGGATTGATATATGGTAAGAATAGCTTTCGCGATAAATATCTATTAAATTTATGCGAAGACTAAAAGTGAACAGTATAAATAAGACGATCTGTGGTTAATTAATTTCGTCAAACAAAAAATTGATTTTATTATTTATTCAAAAAGAATTAATAATTACCTTTAAACATAGCACCATATGCACCTGATGTTTTATTTGTATTTGCAGAAAATACATAACAAGCATTATCTTCATCACCACAAGTCACTAGAGATAAAAGAAAAGGTAAATATAATAGAAAATAAGATCAATTTGACAACGGTATGTGAGAAAAGATCGATACAATTTCAACATATAAGTAAGTGCTTCGCTTATGGTTAAAAGTCATATAGATGTTGATCAATTAAGCTAATTAGCTTAAGACGATCTTTAATACTACGCAATTTCATAATAATAGCTTTTTTTAATATAGTACAAGACATATATCAGGCTCAAATAAAAGCTTTGTGCATTTATTTAATTAATAAAAGTAATTACTTACTATATAAATTAATTAATGATGTGTTTATAAATGGATTATTAATCTTTTCAGGTGAAAGTTGTCGATGAATATTTTTACCATATTCAATTTCTTTTTAGTTTAGTGCAAGCTTTCAATGCTAAATTGATTGCAACATCAGATGCAGATGTTGAATTTTGATTAAAAAGATTTAAAGCTTCTTCATTGGTTCACCTAAATCTATCAATACAGATGACGTGGAGCATGATAAAATATTTGTATGTTTAATAACAACAAAACGTCGACATTTAAGACAAACACTTTTATTAAATATCATCTAAAATAATAATCATGTGTATTCGAATCGAAATCAAACCATTCGTTGTTTAAGAAGAAGAAAAAAGCCAAAAGGTTCTTCTTCAGATCGGCGACACCTTCACCGTATTGGTTAAATTTACAACACACATCAAAGAGAGCGGAGGGATCATTAAAGAGTGTGGGTGCCGTGGTGTCGTTGATCGGAAGAAGTACCTTATCACTAAAGCTACAAAAAAAGAAAATGATATCAGCATGCCATTTGGTTTGACAAGAAAATAATTGTTGAGTATCTCGTAATCGTAATGTCATTATTTCATGAATTAGTTCTATGAATCTATTGTAATCAATGAATAAATGCACATAGAGCGAGACACAATCATTGAACTGATATTGACCATCAAATTCCTTAGAAAAGAATGCGAACTGGTCACTGATGTGAGTTCTCAGACAAAAAGAACTGGTAAGCAATTTTCTTGACATGATTGCCACGATTCATAGAAGTTGAACTTGTCACATGCCTAGTTTTAAACCTTTCTTAGCGACGGAGCCAATTATTGGCAAGAGTAATAAGCTTCGATAAACAATGATTGTGATTATAAGAAAACATATTCTGCAGACCGTTGAAGACAGTATCGACTCATGTTTGGGCGTTTTCTATCAAGAAAAGAAAACCTAAAAAGAAGAAACGATCATCCTGTAAATCAAATCCACCACTTCGATGACAGATTGTTCTTGTAAAAAATGCGACTCAACTACAAACTTGGGCTTTATTACGGATGTCTGCAAAGAAAAGTTGCCATCCATAGAACTCAGCTACACTCTATGAAAACAAGTTCTACTTTAGTTGAACTGAAAATTTCAACGTAATCAATCTTGTCTTTATTGAAAACTTGAAATTCTCAAAGGATGAGATAACTTTCTTTTTTCTGCTCTTTGAATTAGAATGAAAGACAAAATTCTACAAGTTAAAATAAAACAAACATTTAATGCAATTTTATGTTTATATGATTCAGAAATTATATGAAGACCCAAATTGATGAAATTCCTTTTATCAATGATGAGTAATAAATGAAAAGATGTTATTGGATTTCAAATGAAGAAAAACGTATTTTTATTAATGTGACAATTTCACGACTTTGATGAAAATGACCGTTTAGTCAACCGAAATTGCATATTCATCACGAAAATTTTCGTTATGTTCTATCTAAAAATAATAAATTGTTTTACTTTCAAGAGATTGTCATTGGTTTGAATTAATGTTATAGAAAATCTAATATGTTCAAGTCAAAGTTTTACTAATTTCTCAATAAAAGAAAAGTGACTTAATGACAACTTGTCTGTATGAGAGTGTCTCGCTCAATTTAGATGTCTTTCTGGTCTAAATAAACGATAAGTCTAATTTCTATTTATTTTTCATACTATGATCGTTCGGTGTCATATCTACATTGTTGACATACCCTTTATTATTCAGTGTATACTATAATTTTCAGCTTATAAGAGCAAGACTTTGGTAATAAAACTGCAAATTCGTTTCATGTATTATAATATGCGATTGATCCCAAAGTTTGTTGTCGCGGTTGACCTGCTACAATTATTAGTTTTATTTCAATTTTCAACTGATAGTTTGATATCTTTTAGCAGTAGGCTGTACATGAAAGCATTTTTATCTTGATGAATGTGATGTACACACACTAGGCTTCATAGTAAGTTAGAACACAATGTTCACATCATAGCTACAAACAGGTCACTTTTTTTAGCTTGGCCTGCAGGTGGTTGGAAGTACATAGTAAAAGCATTTGCACAATTTGCGTCACATATTTTTCTTATTTTCGCACCGTAGTCTCAATTATACATTTCGTTCTTCTAAATTCAGATAATGAAAGTAAAAACTCTTCCAATAAATAGAAGTAAAAAAATCCAGAATTAGAAGACAAATAAAATCTTCTCTAAACAAATAACTACTTTCAAATCAGTTCTAATTTCATCAATCGTAGTTCATGACTTTAAAAATGTGTGTCGCTAGCAAGAAACCGTAGAAATCGAAAAACCGAAAACATTCTTACTGTCCAAATACGTTGACCATAGTTCATTAGAGGTATCTTTTTTGATCTCTCAGGAGCGATATGCGTATGGCAACTTTTAGGACGGCGGATGTTCGTTTGAGTTCCTGTTAAAACTGACTGTTTTTAGAACAGTATATTCATGCTTTTGAATTATGATTCAGTTTTCGAGTATTTTATTTTCCTTCATTTTCATTCTATATTCGCAACTAGAACTATCTTATATATGATTTTTTACTATTTTTCATGTATTTCCTCTCTTCTGTTTATTCTATTAATAATGTTTTCTTTTTCTTTTTTTGTTATGTACTTTGTTATACTGGATCTCAT